TATAGATATTATAAAGACACTTCTCTTTACTATTCTTATAGATATTATAAAAATAAATATATATAGTATTAGTATTATTATTCTAAATAATAGAAAGAATAGTCTAGCTCTTAAGCTTAAGTGCAGCCTAAAGAGACTATTAGCGTAAGTTATAATAGCGTTAAGTAGCGTAGTTATTAGTGTTATTACTACTACTACTACTTTTACTATTACTATTCTTAAAGTATACTCTATAAGTGCGCTAATACTCTTAGAGAGTAGTAGCGCGCTAGTAGTAGAAGCTAGCTTTCTTATTATTATTAAAGTTATTATTATTCTTAAAGTTACTAAAGCTATTATTAAAGCCTTAGTTAGTGTCTAGCTAAGTCTAAGTATTAGTAGAATTAATAGGCTCGCTACTACTACTACTACTACTATTAGTAGAGTTCTTAGTGTTCTAAACTATATCTTAGTAGCGTAGAGATATAGAATATAAAGCTACTATAACTAGTTAGTATTGCGCGCTTATTAAGTAAGCTACTATAACTAGTTAGCGTTGCGCGCTTATTAGGTAAGCTATAGCAACCTATTAGTATTACGCGCTAAATATATTAGTTAATATTATTTATAACTTATAATATAATTTATATATAAGGTATTAGGCTTATTTTAAAAAAAAGCTTATATAATATAAGAGATATAATTAGATAGGTATATAATAGAATATAAGCTATTAAGTAGAATATAGAGGTATAGAGATCTTTATATTCTAGAGCTAGCGCTAGTCTAACCTAATTAGGCTAGGCTAGTTACGTAATAACGTAATAGAGTAGTTGCGGCTAGAACTGTAATATAGTCTTAATTAACTTAGTAAGTAGAAGAGTAATAGAGAAATAGCGCTTAATAAACTATTAGTAAAAGCTTATATATTAAAGTTAGAAAGTAGTTATAATTATATTATCTTAGATATATAATTACTTAGCTCTTAGATATATAGCTAGAGATTTTATTCTAACTTTCTTTAGTAGTATAATAATTATAATATACTTAAATATCTCTAATTATTAATTATCTCTAGCTCTAATATATTAGTAATAAAGTTATTACTAGTAGATCTATAAACTAACTCTACACTTACCTATATAACTTTTTAGCTTATACTATAACTAAGAATAACTAGAAATATTATAATATATAGTAATAGCTAATAGAACTTACTATATTAATTCTTTATTAACTATAACTATAACACTATCTTTATCTACTAAGTATCTAATAACTATAATATAGTAACTATTCTATAGTTATACTTTTACTAGCTTTAGTAGAACTCTAATTCTACTACTATCTATATAATAATATCTACTTACTAAAGATAATCTATAAATACTTTATTTTTATTATTTTATTTCTTATTACTTTTTTTAAAAATCTTCGCTAAGACGTACTACTATAAGTAAATTTAACTCTATATTATATAGCTAAGGTATAGCTCTAACTCTATTTTAATTATATATATAGTAAAGTATATATAAATAGTATCTATACTTAGTAGAAAGTACTTAATTATTAATATATTAATAAAGTTTTCTAGAACTTTAGTAATATATAAAGCTTTAGCTACTAAGTACTTTATAATATCTAGATTTAAGTTATAAAAAAAGCGCTATATTTTATTAATAAGATTATTAAAGGTAAAGTTCTAGTAAAAAATAATAGTAGAATCTACTTATATTATATACTTTTATAAAAAACTTATAAAATAATAACTATTAATAGCTTTAGTAAGTACTATATTATTAGTAAAGTAGTTTTTAATAGTATATATTATAGTAGAATATTAATATAAAGTAGAGTAATAAAACGTAGTCTAGTAACTCTATATAGTAATCTTAATATAGGTATATTTTCTAAATACCTTATACTTACTATAATATAGTAGTAGAAATAGTATATATAATAGTAGTAGTTATAAAAATAATAAAGAAAGTTATAAAATTTACTATAATACTATCTTTTATAATTATCTTAAGAGAATCTAGAGAAATAAGTAGTAATAGTAATATAATTTAAAGAAAAGTAATTAAATAATAATAAAGTAACTTAGTAGAGCTTTAGTAAGTAAAGTAATATAACTAGTAAGAGATTAGTTTTATACTTATAATTATCTAGAAAACTTATAAACTATTTAAAGTACTAGTATAGTGTTTAGTATTAGATTTAAGCTATATTAATATATCTTTAGATTTCTAAGAGTAATTTATAAAATAGAAGAAGTATACTTTTACTAAGATTTTAGAATATATATTCTAATTATAAACTTTAAAATATATTACTCTATTAGTTATAAGCTAATAAGTATATATAATTATATTATAATTTTCTTAGAAATTAGTATTAAAATTCTTTTATAAAGTAGTTTAGTATTAAAATAGCTTTATAGCTAGTTTAAATTTAAAAGCTTTAACTACTTTAAAAGTAGTAGTACTAAGACTCTAAGCTTTAGCTTATCTATTTCTAAGGTACTAAAACCTTTAGTTATATATTCTTTAGTGTACTAGTAATAAACTTTACTTTTTTAAAACTAGTTTATAGGCTATAAAATTATTAGTTTACTAATAAATTATAATTATATATATATAGTAAGTAATATTACTAGCTATTAGAGATATACTCTCTAATAAAAAAAGTTAATATAATACTTACGTTAGGTTACTATTATAGCTAGAAGCTAAGCCTTAGTAAGAAATATTAAAACTTTAGATAGAAGTAATATATATACACGCGCGTAGTGTAATACTTTAGATAGAAGTAAATATTACGCGTATAGTATAAAATATAATATAATTACTTATATATATAAGCGTATCTAAGTATAAGTAAAAACTATAGCTAATAGAAGCTCTATAAGAGATAGATAGCGTAGACCTCTAGAGCCTATATAAGCCTTATACCTTAAGAAGATTTAAAATACTACTCTCTAGCGTAGCTAGAAAGTAGAGTAATTTTATCTATAAATACTTCTAGCTATATTATTAAACTTTTTATATAACCTATAGTACGCTTTCTATACTAATATATAGTCTATATATACTCTATACTTTTTAGTAAAGTACCTTTACGCTCTAATAAGTATAATCTCTTTCTAATCTTCTAAGAGTATTTTATTACTACTAGAAACCTTTTAAAGAATACTACTTATATAGTAAATATAAAAACTATAGATATATAAAAAAAGATAAAGATACTACTTTTCTAAGTAGTTTATTAAGAGGTTATAATTTTAAAGCTTTTAATATTACTATTATAAGTTATTAGATATCTTATCTTTAGTATATAAGTAGTTAGAATTTATATATAGTTAAGTGTTATATAGATAAGAGTACTTAAGACTATCTAGAATATTAAATCTATAGTAGTATATAAATATAGCTTTACTTACTATAGTAAAAGAGCTAAGTTAGTGTATATTCTACATAAACTTAAAAGCTATAAACGTACCTAGGTATAAATATATTATATAGTATTCTTATACTATAAAAATATACTAAATTTAAAGTTAGAGATAGCTATTCTCTATCTAGATTCTCTTTTACTAGATCTAGTATCTCTTAGTATTTAGAATAATTTTCTTTCTATTAATAAAGTATTTCTCTAACTCTTAGGTAGTAAAGTTTTATATAAAGAGAATACTATACTTCTTACTAGTAGAATATTTCTTATACTAAACTCTATCTCTTAGAACACTACTCTTAGTGTTATTTATAACTTCTTTTAGATATAATACTTTCTAGTTAGATATTTACTCTAATAACGCTACGTGTAGAATAGAAGTAATTCTAGTAGCTACTAGCGTATAAGATTATAGCTATTACGCTTATATTAGTAATAGATAAGTAGACTCTAAAGCTTCTCTCTCTAGTAGCTAGCTTTCTAGCTAGCGCTATATAAACTCTACACTCTTTATAATATCTATAATAGTAGTATTAATAGTAGTAGTAAAAAAGAAGTAGTATTATTAATTAGCTATATAATATTAGAAGCGTAAGTTACTATATAGGTCTAAAGGCAAGTAAGAGATTCTAAGCGTAATACACTATCTTAAGCATAGTACTAGACTATATTAGGTACCTATATCTTAGCTAAACAAAATATTAAAGCTACTTAAATTAGCTTAGCTATTATATATAGATCTATAGAGTAGTTAGTTACTATTTAATAAAATAGTTAAGAATATACGCATAATATATTTAAGCTAAAGATAGTCCGCAAATACTATAAATTTTCTAGATAGGTAGCAAAACATTATATATGCGCAAAGCAAGGCTAGAATACGTAGAGTTTAATAGAGTCTTTATAACGTAATTACTTCGCAAACTTACTTTGTATAGTAGAATAGCTTCTCGCAGATAACTATAGTGTACCTGCTAGTCTATCTTAAGAATTAAAGTGCTCCGGCGCTAGTAAGAGCTTCGGGATAGCGCTGTCTTTAATAGAAGAGTTTGCGCTCTTAGCGTAATAAGAAAGTATTAGTTAGTAGAAGTCTCTAATAAGCGCAAGATTGTGCTGCGCATTAACTTAGAAGCTTATTTCCGCTCGATGCATTAATTTCTACTTGCAAACCTTTTCTACACACCTAAGTAGCTAAGCTAATCTGTGTTAATAGTAAGTATGCGTTCTAGTCGCAACATGCGACAAGTGGAGCAACTTACACTAGGTCCTATCTATGAATTAAATTTCTCGTCTCGTCTAAGTTGCCCTTGGTCTTCGCGACACCCTCTTGCAGATTATTGGGAAGGAGCGAGACCAGGTTATACATGTCACCGCCGCGCATGCTGTATGCTATAGCGTGTGCGTCAGGGCCCGCCTAGGACCAATATGCGGGTCATCGCACCATTTTTCTCCGCCTCGATCCGCTGGCCTGATCAAGTTGAAGCACGATGCGATATGCCAGATCTCCTGTAGGTGGTTAGGGATTCGTTCCGTCCTGGAAGAGTGACTATAAGATCGGCGCCCTAGTTCTAGCCCTCCGAGGTTGTCACGCGCGCCCTATCGCCGGTGAACGAGCCCGGATTTATAGTCGTTACTTTTGCGTTCAGTACTACGATCACGCCCAGTTCTTGCGCTCGCTTGACCATGGCCTGCTGCAGATCTACGCGATGGCAGTCGGAGAATGGCGCTTCGTACTTGCGGCGGATGTTCGCATCGAACTCTGCCTCGTGCGCAAGTATCTTACCGCGATAGTTGTGGACAGTCAGTGCGATGGGCTCGCAGACACGATCGCGGATAGTGTCGTAAACAGACCAGTTCAGAAGGAGACGTGTAGCATTAGGTGTAAGTTGAAGGCCTGCGCCTATCTGGAATGCTGGTTAGTATAGACACCGATTGCAACCATCTGGTGTCGTAGACGTGAGCACATACTTCAGCCAGCTCCCTTGCGCCCTCCAATACCGTCACCGAGTGTCCTGACAAGGCACATTGTATCGCTGCGGCGAGTCCAGAGAGCCCAGCGCCCACGACTAAGATGTCGAGCTTGTGTGGCATAGCTGGCGTTGGTTCAAGTCGTGGCGGAAAAGGCAAGACAAAAGTCAAGCTGCGAAGACGAGTCGACCCAGCGGAACTGACGTGTGCAGGCGCGTCGTCGCCGTACTCGACTAACGTTCTATCGGACACGCATCTATCGCCGGCCGCAGCGCGTTTCGATGCGTGCAGGATAATGTCTCTTCCGGAGTGGTGTGGGGGATGCGGGGTTGCTTTAAGCCACCCTTGCAGTGCTTGCAGCACCCGGGCGTGCGCGCAGGTCGGCAACGCTTGGCGTGGGATAACAATGGTGGCAGCACACAGAACAACGGAGCATAATCCCAGGTGGCACGTCGAAAGATTGATGCTTTGTCGCTTTGGAGGTGTCGGTATCATTTGCGATGGGCCATTCGAAAAGCATGCCAACTAGCCTGTATCGCAGCACCTCCCCAATGCGAGATTGGTATTGTACGGCAGCTTGCTCGACCGTCGTCATGACGCTAATACTGCAACGATCACGGCCAGACGCTCGCTTGTACATCCCGTGGCATTCAAAGATTCCCGTTGCTCGATAGCTACGGAGATGCGCCGCGCCTCACGTCATGGGGTGGGGTAATGGAAAGACGTTCCGCCCTACCGTTGTTCAAGATATATTCCACGTCACTACGCGTCTGCAACAACATTCCACGCTGTTCGAACAAATACCATTCAACAACCATGGTCTCTCTCGACAAGCCAATCGTGCTCCATTACGAAGGCTCCATCTTCTCGCACCGGGTATTATGGTATCTATGGCTTCGCGGTATACCCTATGATGAATGTGTACATCATTTCCGTCTCTTTCAGTTGCGTCAGCTAAGAAGTCATCTAGATCCAGCCGGCATTCATGCCGCGTGAAGACCTTGAACTGCTGGGCGTCGGCTACAGAAAGATACCCGTCGTGATCATCGGAAAGGACATATACTGCGATTCTCGATTCATCATCTCCAAGCTAGAGTCTCTGTACCCCAACAGCGCTCTCTCACCTTCCACGCCAATGGATGTTGGTATCAGAAAGCTCTTCGAAAACTGGACAATCGACGGCGGCATCTTCGCCAACGCCGTGAGGATGATACCATACTGGCAGGAGACAAGCTTCCTATCGAATGAAGCCTTTGTAGATGATCGTCAGAAGCTCATGGGAAGGCGCTTCACCGCCGATGATATGGAGATGGGGCGGCCCGATGGCACGCAGCATTTGCAGCTCGCTTTTGACATGTTGGAGTCTACTTTCCTTGCCGATGGCAGGGCGTGGATTTTGAACACACAAGAACCCTCGCTAGCAGATATTGATTGTGTGTGGCCATTCAAGTGGTTGATGTCGGAGCCCACTATGAAGGACAGTCTTCCCGCGCGTTACTTCAACGCTGAGACGTATCCGAGAGTATTTTCGTGGGTAGAGAGATTTGTGGCACAACTGGAAAAGAAAAGGAAGAGAATGCCAATGCTCAAAACGCTGGATGGAAATACTATGGCACAACGAACTCTTGGCACTTCTACCTCACCAGAAAACGTTACATTCATCGATGACAATTCACATAAGCTCAAATACGGCGACGAGGTCGAGATATTTCCTTCCGATTACGGACATATGGGAAAGACTGTTGGGAATCTCGTTGGTCTTACAATTGACGAGGTCACTATCTGTAACAGCAAAAGCATCCGTGTACATTTTCCGCGCTGGAACTTCAGTGTCGTCAAAATCGCGTCTAAGTCCATGATCTAGACAACTGATAGATCCGATTTCCGTTCATCTTTCTCGCTACGGTTAGTGAATTTAGTGAGCTCGTTCCAAGGCAATAGTTGCTGTCTCATCGCTTTTCATCACCGAAGCGTTTTCCTATCGGTCACTGTAGCTGCTGTAACATTGCGTTATAGAACACCAGCGGACTAGATGTTTAGCAATTCGCACTTTAGTTTGTAGTCATTGCAGGTAAGCTGGGACATTTGAAACATAACGCTACGATGGAGATGAGCATATGAGCCCATGCAAAATGGTACGTCCGTGTCATAAGCCTTTTGTTATCGAATTAAATTAATCGTGGTTGGTAAAACTTTGCAGGACGGTATACATCGACCTCTGACGCAACACGACGACAGCAAAGTCACTGCTGTTCACGAAAGCTATTCTTCCTTGTCCGCAGCTTATGAGGCTAATGAATTGCCAGCGCCATTCTCCTTGCAGTAATAGTTCAACTCATCACCACCGATGTGATTCCCTAGCGATTGACAAAGGTTGAGCTTGCCGACTTCGGTCTGCACAATGTTAGCATGCGAAGGGTTCATGGAGGGATTCTTGTATGTCTCACCATCTTGCAATCGGCACATGTATCCCATTGCTGGTCGCCAGTGTTGCGATTCAGATATGCGTCGCATGCCTTTGTTGTTGCGTCGGCGTTGTACACGTATTGTCCGCCGACTTCATCGACACAAAGACCTTCCCTGTGGAGGTCGGCGTTGACGAAGGAGCCCACGAGGATGGGAAGTGCGGAGAGGACGACTGAGAAATGCATGACGGCTTCAGGTTTCGAAATAGCTCAGACAGAGCGAAGGTAACGACAGAATTGACTGTAAAAGCCAGGTGCACCAAAGGATTAAAGAGCGGAAGTTGGGTACTGCTCAGAACCGGATGTGGAAACAAGATAAATAAGTAAGAACTGATGATAGAACGGATCCTCGTTCATGCTTTCATGGCCATCACTACAATTGTCCTTTGTCCATTCTCGGCGCAATTGTGGCGAGCGCGCCCCTTCTTCCAAGGTTTTGAAACGTGGTTGAGCCACCGCGGTATCGAGGGACCGCACAGCAATGCCCCAATCCCACATTCCCTCGGCAGGTGAACCGAGTGCACTATTAGAGCGGTGTCCTATTAGAAGTCGGGAATTCTATGCCTTGTATTATTAAGGGTAGATGCCGAGAACCCGGAAAGGGTTTGCACTTCATGCGCTTCGGCCCGAAAGAACGATGCGGGCGTGCTTTTGTTACAGTGATACTCGAGGAGCCACTCGACTCATGTTGCGCCTAGCGAGACCCACTCAGAATAAGTAATCCTACGGCGAGCCTTTGGGTAGGTATGGAAGAACTATTCGTACTTCGAGACAGCAAATCACCGGACAACCATGAAACCAATCAGCCGCGCACCTGAACACGTTACCTAGGTTCGTATACTCCACCACTATTGATCCTTCATAAATCCCTGCCAAGAAATGTATTGACGTACCTGTTTACCAAGATAGCTGGAATGTCAAAATTGCGTCTCAGAACCCATGTTACGATCAGTCATACAGCCGACGCTGCCAATGCGGTGCTAACTTGCTCGCATTTCTTGACGATAAGTAGAGCACGCCTCCCTGATCATGAATTCTTCTCACCACCTTACCTGCCCTGTCACTCTTTTCGTAAAGTTCTACACATTCGTTTCACCTCATATATGTACTCGCTATAATGCACTCCACTTCCTTCATCACCCTCATTTTTGGCGCCGCTCTCGTCGCGGCTGCTCCCGCACCCGTCAAAATCGGATCGGATGACGTTATCCTCCACGGCAAAGGCCACTTCACCGTTATGAAACGATCTGCCTTTGAAGAGCTGGAAGCTGCACGCAAGGCCAGTGCTGTACCTCCGAAGCCTGCCTACCTTGCTGAGATTCACTTCTCCGGCAACGAGACCAAAACACCAGACAAGCAGCACTTGAAACGCGACACCAGCATTATCATTCCGAACCCCAACTCTCGTTTCTTGGGCTGGGATGTTCAAATGAGCCAAGTCACCAAGGGCGCACCGACTACTATCTCCGTCGCCTCGGGTTTCTCCATTAGTAACAGCATTTCGGTTGGGGCGAGCAGCACTTTGACACTAGTCAAGGACTTCCTCCAAGTCTCCATGTCAATCGACTACAGCCAGACGTGGCAAACGACTCAGACGCAAACCTTCACCGCCGAGGTCCCCAAGGACAAGTATGGCGCTTTTGTCAGTAACCCTTGGACCAACCGTGCGAGTGGAAGTGTCTGGACGGGTACCATCGGTGGTTATGGAGAGCTATCCGACTACCAGGCTGACTCGTTCGAGTCAAAGCAGTTTGACAATATGGAATGGGTTGATGGTGTTATCAGTCTTTGTACAGGCGACGAGTTTCCTCTCAAGAGATGCTTGGGCGAGGGTACACTATGAGGCTGGACAGCACATACTGACTTGACTGCGTGTCGGAATCGAGGATGCATGGAGGATCAAGACGGCTTCATAGATCCAGTACAGCTAATAATGTTCAAGTGCTGTTTTGTAGAGGAGAGCGTTTGTTGTGAGACCCATCGAGCATGAGGCAATCGCATGTCAAACACCCAGCACTAGGCCGAGAGCCTGGTTGATCATGCCTCTATACCTGCATCGTTCTGTCCATCCAAGGCTTCAGCGCCGCAAGGCCGATGACAACAGCCTCCTCTGTTCTAATTGTCCTGCTGCCCTGTCCCGGAACCAAATTAACCCAAGCATCAAAAAGCTCGCTAGCCATCGATTTGCCCAATCCTCTTGCCGCGAGAACCGGGTCGTTGGCAATAGCCGGTTCTATGCCGGCCTGGCCTCCGAACACAATAAGGAGGTGTTTAAAGGGTTTGTGAGCTTTGGCTTTGGCTGCAAACGTAGCAGACTCATTGCTAGTGTCAGTAAATAGTGAATAGACGGACTGGCCGCGTTCCGATGTTCCTATAGACATGTCATAGCCATCTGGGTATTCGCAATCGGAGAAGACGGCGCTGAGTGATGGAGCGCGTCGGACCGTGTAACCCCAGTAGTAGCCGCCTTCCTCACGTGGAAGACTGGCCGCGCATGCCGTAGCATTTAGTAGATTACATTCCTGCTGAGATAGGTGGGGCCAGTTGGGAGGTGCATCGGCGTTGGTGAAGCGAACGGTTGTGCGCATGCCTT